CTGCTTTTACTCTGCTTGAATCTCCAGTTCTCCCAGCAGTTCAGGTTCACCTGCATTTCTTTTCAAATGCAAATATACCACCTCTGAAGGTTCTGGATGGGGCTCAGGATTCCACCTATAGCCATGTACTCTACAAATGGCTAAAGCAAAAAACCTATTTCTCCCAGGCAACTTCTAACACCACTTTTAGCAAATTCTATCAAGTATAAACTGATGGCAGCCTTATAAGCTCCTTGTAATCATAATTTCCAATACTCATGTCCCTCACCCATGTATGTCTATTTGGTTATGAATCGGGCTGCTAACCTCAAGGTCAGCAGTTCGAAACTACCAGCTGTTCGGAGGGAGAAAGACCAATATCTAAAAGTCAGTTAAAAAACATAAACCTTTTAAAAACACTCCAAGTTCTATCTTTTCTTCTTCCTTGGACTAACCCAATTCATATGCATAACCCAACTCAGAGGCCTTGGGTCTCTGGCAGAGTGGATTCCAGTAGGCCAGGCTTACTCACTATCAGCCAGAATGTCATCAACCCCAGGCAACTCCAGAAGCTGCTGCTCTCCCACTTAAGTATTTTATCCCTTTCCTCTTCATTCTTTCTCTTACAAAACCTCATAATTTCATAGGTATGGTGTCACTGCAATGAATCCTGCTCACAGTGTCAACTGCTTAAATCAAGTGGGGACCATGTCTGACTTCCTCTAATCCCACAAAAGGAAAAGAGGACCAAACTCAAAATCAGCCCAAGGTCAATTCCTATGAAGTGGAGATCAGCCATGCTTCCACCCTACATCGGTGCCTTTAAAATTAGGCAGATTTGAGAACAGTTTTAGAAAACACCTCCTTGTGATTTTTGTTTCTCCAGAACCCCACTCTTGTAATACCACATATCTTAGACTAGGTTTTCTAGAGAAGCAAAACCAGTGAAACATGTATATGTTATTTTTGTTATTGTTGTTAAGTGCCATCAAGTCATTTCCAACTCATAGCAACCCCTTGTATAGGATTTCCAAATAGCAGCTGGTGCACTTGAACCACTGACCTTGCAGTTCAAAACAACATTGCAGTCCAATGCATTAACCTGCAGTGGTGGTTATGTGCCATAGAGTCAGTTCTGACTCATGGTGATGCTGTACAGGGTTTCTGAGGCTGTAAATCTTTATGGGAGCAGAAAGCCTCATCTTTCTCCCACAGATCAGCTGATAGTTTTGAACTGCTGACCCTGATGTTAGCATCCCAACTGGTAACCACTATACTACCAGAGCTCTCATATAT